TCTACTTTCTCAAAAGTAACCTCTCCGACCCTCTGTTTCCTCTCCTAGAAAACTATGACAATGATACCAACTCCACGTTGCCATAGAGGAACATAAATGGGCTATTTCAGCTGAACAGGTCAGGAGACACCTGGAAATCAGAAGGGGGGGGCAGTGTGTCACCCTCATAAATCGGAGCCACGAGGCCGCTTGTACACCAGGTGGAGTCTGGATTTTAACCCAGACCCGTTACTCACTGGCTAGAACAAACCATCCCATTTTGCTAAGCCTCAGTTTGTTGCTCTTGTTTAGTTGTTAAGTCAGATCCAACTCTTTTGTGACCCCCATGGACTGTCACCTGCCAGGCTCCTCTGTCCATGGGATTTCCCAAACAAGAATACTGGAGTGGATTGCCATTTCCTTCTTCAAGGGATCTATCCAACCCTGGGACTAAACCCACGTCTCCTGCATTGGTAGGCAGATTCTTTACCATTGAGCCATCAGAGAAGACTCAGTTTATTTGGCTGTAAAATAATGGTACTTGTGGTAAAGATGAAATGCAGTTATATTTATAGAGTGTTTAATCAGTCCTTAATAAATAGTGGCATCAATAAGAGGGAGAGAGCTCAATGGAGCAAGGTTTTCTGGGCCCCAAACCTGAAGCCCAGTGGAGCCTGAGAGAGGCGGCTCTAGTCCATCAGATTGCGGGTGTTTCAGAGGGGCGGCCAGTGGTGGGGCCACAGCACCAGACCTCCAGGCCTGAGAGGGGAAGGGCCTGGCCCAAGGTCACCAGGCGTTGGCAGGGACAGGAGGATGGGAGGTTGGAACTCTCACTCCTGCTCCCTGACCAGCTGCCCCTTCCAAGCAGGAAACTCCTCTGTGGCCTGTTACTATTCTTTGAAAGCGTTTCTTTTGTGGTCATTATCAGCTCAGTGTTAATCTGTGTGTGGGTGTAGGGGGAAGGTTGAACTGAGTTGCTTCTTAAGCAGCATCCTGCTACATTGATGCTTCTAACGCTCTGCGGACTAAGGGACACAGTGCTCAGGCCACCCACCCACGCTCCTTGAAGACCTTCGTGAAGGTCACTCTCAAAGTGGGAACAAAAAGGGAGTGTCAGCATGAGAAGCCCGGACTGCTTCTTATTTATCTTTGTATTTGGCTGCCTTGGGGAATGCAGGATCTTTGTTACATCCTCTGGGTCCTTCGATGTGGCTCACAGACCCTCTAATATTGGGCACCTGGGTTCAATAGTTGTGGAGCATAGGCTTGGTTTTTCTGTAGCATGTGGAGTCTTAATTCCCTGACCATAGATTGAACCCATGGCCCCGTCACTGCAAGGCAAATTTGTGACCAGTGGGCCACCAGCGGAGTCCCCAGACTCTCTCTCAATTCTCTGCAGAGGCAGAGAATACAACATTGGAAGGCTGTGACACAGACAGGGGAGGACCAGGGATCTGGGGAACTGAATGGTGTGGCGGTTCAGAGCATGAGCTTTCAGGGTCCGAACTGGGTCTGAGCCCAAGCTTTGCCCCTACTAGCAAGTGACTCAAACTCTCTGAGCCTCAGACGACCCATCTGTAAAATGGAGCTGATCTTGTGGCTTCGGCCTGCACTGTCTTGGAGCAGGGCTTGGGTTCACGACCAGAGACTGAGGCCAGGTCACGGTGGGGAGAGCACCAGATCCTAGACACTAGAGCAGTGGTCAGGGACAAGGCCCTGCCCTTCTGCTTTGCAAAAAAGAATTCTCACAAAATGGAAAGTGGTGAAACAAGTGAAGTATTTATTAGGAGGAAAAGGAGTCCTGTACGTGTGGATAGACACAGGGGCAAACTCAGAGAGAGAAAGTCGCTGAGTTCGCACCCTTGTGGCAGTTTGAATTACTTTTATGGGGCATTTCTTCCAGGTTTTCTTTGGCCAACCAGTTTGACTTCACAGTCCATGTTTGGTATAGCTCAGGATCCGCCCATGTGTGCACATGCATCTCTTAGCCAAGATGGGTCCCACCAAGGAGACTCATGGGTAGAGCATTTCTTGACATCACTCCTTGGCCCTCCAAGGAGCCTGTCTGGGCATGTGTGGTCAGGGAGGTCTCCTGACTTCAAGAAAGAGAAACATTGTTTTCTGGGTAGGGTACAGTCTGCTCCCTTAATTGTCCTGCTATTCTTGTCTTGGAGTTTCAGTCCACAGAAAATGAATCTCCAATCATTTTTCCCCTGGGGGTCCATCTACCTCCTGCCTCATAGCCCATAATCGAACCTGCCACCATGGGTGTATGCAAGGCTAAAGGAACTGATGTTTGTTGAGACATCACAGCACCCAGCACTGACAGGTGCTGGCAATGGGCCTGGGCCTCCCATGGGCACGGGGACCTCTGAAGCCCCTGTGTTTGGTTCAGGGTCACTAGAGGTTCAGTGAACATCCTACATGAACTTCCTTTGTGGGCTCAGGTGTAATTTATTTTTTTGATCATTGAGTTTGTTTTTGGTCATGTGAGTAGTAGATTTATTTATTTAAACTGACACGCATTCCATAGACAGATTGTGGTTTGTCTCAGAAAATGAGAACAGCCCTAGTAGAAATGTAATCCACAGAGTGTGGGCCATCTCAGAAGGTGAGAGGCCCTCGAGTGCAATCTGGAGGCCAGGGGTGCTGAGTGTGACTTGCTTGAGTCTGTTAGTTTCATTCAGACAAAGACAGGAAGGTCTGCGGACCCCCAGGCTCACTGGTGTCCTCCCACCAGCCATGTCTAATGCAGCGGTGGGGGGCCCTTTGGAGTTTGGTTTTGCGTGGGTCTGTGACTCTGTGGCCGTGCTCGCTCTGAGCCTGGGGGGCCTGATGACATGGTGTCCACGGAGGGGGGAGAGCACAGCTAGCTGAAGGGGGTGCACACCGGGCCATCGTGGAAATTAGTTGTCTGGCAGCCACTGGGCTCCTGTGAGAGCATGTGTGTGAAAGCGTGTGCCCCGCTGTACAGTCGGGGAAGCGGGGTTCTCCAGTGGGGCTTTGATCCATCACGGCCAGACCGCCAGCTCACACTTGGATAGCACGTCTGCATCAGGCCTGGTTCCAAGCCATTGCTTATGTGGACTCCTTAAAGCCTCAGCCACCCCTGGTGCGGGTTCTGTCCTGACCGCCGTCTATAGATGGGGCAGCGACACGGGTGTGACTGACTTGCTCCAAATCACACTTGGAGGGAGCAGAGAGGCTGGAATTTGAACCCAGACTGCTGCCAGTAGAGTCTGTGCTGTTCACAGTGGGTGGAAGGCGGGCTTTAGGAGGCTGGGGCAAAAGAACAGTTTCTGGGTGGACAGCGGGAGTCTAGGTAGGTGGCAGGAGGGGGGTGGAGGACAAGGTCAGAATGATGGCAAAGCCCCAGGGCCCACCTCAGAGTCTTAGAGAGACGAGAGGTGAGGGCCTCCTATCTGGGGGAGGCAAAGAAGAGTGCCGGGGGTGGGGGTGGGGTCAAACAACACATGTTCATGGTCTCACAGTCCTGGAGGCTGGATGGCCAAGGTCAAGGCATCGGCAGGGCGGGTTCCTCCTGGGGCCTCGCTGCTTGGCTTGTCTGTGACTGTCTCCTTCCCCTCCTCCTCCCTGTGTCCCCCTGTTCCTTGTGTGGTCACCCCTCAATCTGCGTGTGTCTGTGTCCTAATCTCCTTTTTTAAAATCCTTGATTATATTTATTTTAAATTGAGTGATGATTGCTTCACAATATTGGGTTGATTTCTGTCAGTACATCAACATGAATCAGCCATAGGTATACATATGTGCCCTCTTTCTTGAAGCTCCGTCCCATCTCCCACCCTTTTCCAGCCCTCCAGGTTGTTACCGAGTCCCAATTTGAGTTCCCTGAGTCACACAACAAATTTTCATTGGCTATTTTCCATATGTTAGTGTATTTGCTTCCATGCTGTTCTCTCCATTCATCTCACCCTCTCCTTCCTCTCCCATGCCCTTGTCCATAAATCTGTTCTCTAATCTCCTTTTCTTTCAAGGACTCCGGTCGCAGGGGATCAGGGCTGCTTTAAAGACCTCATTTTAACTTAACTGCCTCTTAAAGGCCCTGTCTCCAAACGCAGTCACATTCGGAGGTCTTGGGGTTCCGGATGTCAGTGTATGGACTTGGGGGGCACAATTCAGCCCAACACAGAAGAAGAGGGAGGTCTGGGAGCTCACAAGTGTGTATGTTAGTCGCTCAGTCATGCCCAACTCTTTGCGACCCCGTGGACTGCAGCCCACCAGGTTCCTCTGTCCATGGGATTTTCCAGGCAAGGATACTGGAGTGGTTTGCCATTTCCTTCTCCAGAGGATTTTCCCGACCCAGGGATTGAACCTGGGTCTCAAGGGAGGAAGGTGCCTCTGATGAAGGACTGGGTGGCTTTGTGGGGTCCCGGAGCAGCCCCTGGGGAAGGAGAGGGAGACTGATGGTATCCTGCGTTCACGCATGAGGCACAGAAGCCTGGCCTCATCCAGGAGCCACCACCTGGATGCTCCGAATGAGCAGGGACAAATGCAGTAGTGTGGGTGAGACCAGGAGTGGTAGCTACCCTGAGCTCATAGAAGGAAACGAGGTCTTGCAAATGCTCCGCCCCAGCAAGAAAGTGAGGGGTAGGGTCATTCAGGGATACAGGCTGCTCGGCTCCGGTAACCTCGGAGCTGCTAAGCAGGCAGAATCCTCGGTCCCCTGTGATGGGTGCTTCCCTATGGAGGGGAAGCGTCTTCCTGCTCGGTACCCACAGGGGTCTCACTCCTCCGCCTTGTGCTGCTTCTCCCTGCCACAGATACCCAGGTCCCCGAGTCTCTGTCCTTCCGCCCCTCTGGTGCTCTCTAAAACCTCACTCCCTCCCGGCCGCTGGGGTTCATCGTCGCCCACTGAGGCTGCTGGTGGGCACTGCCGCCCCCTTCGGAAGGTCAGCCCTGCCCCTAATCTTCCGATCTTCTCTCAGAGAGGATTCCCTGGCCGCCCACCCTCTCTGAGGTCATCTTCCCACTCTCCCTTTCAGAACGAGGGGTTAGCCACGATGCGTCTCTGTCTCTTCCTGTGCCTGATGCTCCTCGGGCCGCGGATGGCCACCCTCCGGCGCCCCCAAAAGAAGAAAATCCAGGAGCTGCCGCCGGCGGTTACCACGGCGCCGCCGGGCAGCGGGGACTTTGTCTTCGACCTCTATAGGACCCTGGCCGCAGCCACCCCCGACCGGAACATCTTCTTCTCCCCTCTGAGCATCTCCGTGAGCCTGGCCATGCTCTCCCTGGGAGCTCGGTCTAACACGAAGGCGCAGATCCTGGAAGGCCTGGGCATCTGCCCGGGGGAAGGCTCGGAGGAGGAGCTCCACGGCGCCTCCCAGCGGCTGCTGCGCGAGCTCCAACAGCCCCAAGACAGCCTCCAGCTGAGCTTGGGCAACGCCCTGTTCACCAAGCCCACGTTGCTCATCCAGGAGGCCTTCCTGGGCGCCTTGAGGACGCTGTACCTGGCAGACACTTTCCCCACGGACTTTGAGGACCCCGAAGGGGCCAAGAAGAAGATCAACGATTACGTGGCAAAGCAAACGAAAGGAAAGATTGTGGACTTGATTAAGAGCCTGGATGGTACCCAGGTCATGGTCATGGTGAATTACATTTTCTTTAAAGGTAAGACCCTTGGGCTTGAATCTGAACTTTCTCTTTGCAGATGCTTTTTGTCAAAAACAAACAAAACAAAAGAACCCCAATCCCTCCAAAACAAAACAAAAGACGAAACAAAACCAGTTCCCACACACATAAAAGAGTGGGAGTGGGTTTAGTCCTCTGTGGTCCCTGGTGATAGAGTGAAGTCAATGGTCAGCCAGCTGAGGTGATGCCTTCTTAGCCTTCTTAGTGCGTATGTGTGTGTTTAGTCGCTTCAGTTGTGTTAGACTCTCTGTAGCCTGCCAGGCTCCTCTGTTCATGGGATTCTACAGACAAGAATACCAGAGTGGGTTGCCATGCCCTGCTCCAGGGGATCTTCCCAACCCAGGGACTGAATCTGCATCTCCTGCCTTGCAGGCAGATTCTTTACTGCTGAGCCACCAGGGAAGCCCCTCTGAGAGCCTAGGGTGATATGAAGAGCCTGATGCTGTTTCCTCCACTGGGGAAAAGCTGGTTCCCATTTGGGCCCCCGGGAACACTTAAAACCACAGCATCCACATAAACTCTGAAGCATGAGTTTGTCAAGGCCACGATGCCAAAGAACGGACACCATGGCTACTCAGGGCAGGACTGTGGGCCTTAGAAGGGACCTAGAGGGCTTTCGCCAGCTCCTCCGACGTACCCACATCCTCACCTCTGTGCCCTCTTAGGAGCTGTTTCCTTAGCCCAGAAATTCTGGGACAAGAACCTATTCCTCTGAATTGCCTTCTCTCCCCTACTTGAGTGTCAGTCTCCCCATCTTTGTCTCCCTGGCATTTCTTGTAAATATCCCTACTCATCTCAGCTTGTATGCCTGCTTCTCCTTCTAGATGCTGAGTCCCTGAGCACCCTGGATGGGCCTGACTGAGGATAGAGAGGGGAGAGGGTAGAAAGGGAAAGAGGAAACTGGTTAAATTGTTACCCAAACCCCCTTCCTGTAGTCACAGAGCGTAAGGATCAAGTTTGCCTTCTAAGATTTCTTGCCCTCATGTCCAGGGCTAGGCTTCAGAGGACAGCTGTGAAGTAAGCTAAGTGGCCCATGGGAGTTGGATCTATATTTGATAACTACTAAGAAGATGAAAGCAATGACTTGTGTCACTTTGAACAAAATATCCCATATGAAACAGACAGAGCAAGAAGCACAACCAAAGACTTCCCAGCAGGAAAAATCATGTTTTTTCCAGGACCCTTACGAACTTTCTTCCAAACCTAGATTGACATTCAATATTGGGAAAAGAGTGGAAAAGAGAAGAGCTCACCCTCTTCACTGGGATATTTGAGCTTGAGTAACAACATCAGAGAATCAGACAAGCAGCATTTAGGGTAAAGGGTGTCTGAAGACATGAAAACCAACCCCCTTGTTTTGCAACTGTGGGAGGATAGCTCCACAAAGTTCTAGTCTGTCCCCTGAATTGGGAAGGGGCTTGTCTTTATATTCAAGAGGTTTGGCCGTCACTTCTCCCAGTGATACTGCTCTAAAGAGGATGTTTTCTGCTGGGTTTACTGTGAGCACACTTTTCATTGATGGCTGACAATTTCTAATTCCTTTTCCATTTTAATCTGTAGCTAAGTGGGAGACTAGCTTCAACCTCAAAAGCACCCATGAGCAGGACTTCTATGTGACTCCGGAGACGGTGGTGCGGGTCCCCATGATGAAACAACAGGACCAGTTTTACTACATCCTGGACCGAAACCTCTCCTGCAAGGTGGTGGGGGTCCCCTACCAAGGGAACGCCACTGCCTTCTTCATTCTCCCCCACGAGGGGGAAATGGAGCAGGTGGAAAATGGCCTGAAGGAAAAAACACTGAAGAAGTGGCTCAGGATGCCCATGAAGAGGTATTCTTCACACTGCTCTGGGGCCAGCCTGCTGCTGCACACCCAGAGGGCCACACAGCAGTGGTGGGAGGACTCACCTGGCCCAGGAACTGCCTCCACGCCCTGAAGCATCATGTGAAGGCCCAACTCTGGGGCCTGAGTCAGCTAGCTGGAGGGAGCAGGGCTGGAAGCTGTATTTTCTGGTGGGATCTTCCGAGTAGGCAGTGACCACTGGGAACAGCTCAGGTCCAAGTCCAGAGTTGGATAGGTTCCATTCTAGGCAACAGGCTGGAGGAGCATTAGGAAACCTAGAGATAGCAGGAATATGAGCCAGTGCTCTAGGAGAGTCTAAGAAAAGGTCCTCTTCTCTTTCCAGGCGGCTTGAGCTTTATCTTCCCAAGTTCTCCATCGAGGGCTCCTATCAGCTGGAGGAAGTCCTCCCCAAGCTGGGGATCAGAGACATCTTCACCTCCGATGCCGACCTGACTGGCATCTCTAACCACTCCACCATCCGGGTGTCTGAGGTGAGCCCAGAAGCTCCTGAGCGCCTGCTTCCAGAAATTTCTATCCTTTTCTGTTATATTCTATTCCATTCTATTCACCCCATCCCTCATTCTAAATTCTTTCCCTCTCTGTCTCATCTTTTCCCTCAAGAAGCAAAGGTTTCACTTTGCCTCTTGTCCTCTGAGCAATGGGAAGCTGTATTCAGCACCGTGTCTTTCAGAAAGGTGTCTTGTCTTAAGCAATCAAACCTAAGAATCAGATGCTGACTCCTTCACTTACTGTGTGACCTCTAGCAATTACTGGACCTCTCTGAGCCTCCTTTCTCTCTATAAACCCAGAGTCACACCCTTGCTCTGAGAGGCAGTGAGAATTCAATGAAAGACACGTGTGCACTCACCTCTAAGCCCTGGGGGCACAGTAGTTGTTCAGTCATCTCATCTCCTATCTGCTTCATGGCTCAGGAGCACAGACTCGGATGGTGGTGCCATCGGCTGGAGCTTGGCTGTTTCCCCCGATGGCATCTCCCTGCCCCTGGTGGCTCCGTGACGCCTGATGTCTCCCCTGTAGATGGTGCACAAAGCCGTGGTGGAGGTGGATGAGTCTGGAACCCAAGCGGCTGCAGCCACTGGGACGGTCATCACGTTCAAATCTGCCCGACTGGGCTCTCAAAGGGTAGTCTTCAATAGGCCCTTTCTGATGCTCATTGTGGAGAATAGCAAACACATCCTTTTCTTCGGCAAAGTGACTCGCCCTTGAGATGAGGATTTCTCATGGGCCTCCATAGTGGATGATGAGCATGCATGATAGCTGTCTGTCTGCTGGGAGCTGCTGATTTACACAGGTTTGGCTGACTAATGAGACTCCTACAAATCATAATATTAAGAATATCATCAAAATACTGATGACTGCTTCTTTTCACATGATTGCAAGACATGGGTGCCTTGGAGAACATTTGGTTTTTGCCCCTGCCTTTCATCAGTGGAGAATACTGATGAGGCCCAGAGAGGTTAGTTGACTTTCCCAAGGTCACACAGCATGTTAGTGGCAGAGAGAAGCCCAGAATCTAACTGCCTGTTACCCAGCCCCAAACCACCAGTTTCTGTAGGAGCATTGTTCCAGTAGCTATTTCCAACAGGAAATGTATCCCTAAGCCTAGCTTCCCACCTGTTGGCAGTACCAGCTATCAGTTCATCATGGCTTGGGAAAAACTTGTGGGATGGGAGTATGAAATCAGGCTTCTGTCCCAGTTGTGTGACTTTGGGTAATACTGTCCCTCTCTGGACTTTGGTTTCCCCAAGTCAGGTCAGGGACTGAAGAATCCTTGAAATCAAATAAAAAGGCTAGAATATTCCCCACCAATCACTGTTAATATCAATGCATTTAAGTTCCACTCATCTTTTAAGGAAAGCAGGTGGACAGCAGGGTAGATATGGCCAACCCAGGATTGTACTGTCCTGTGGGTTAAGTTACAACCACGTGGGCTTGGCTGGGTGTGGAAGAATAGAGGCCTGACGCAAATACTAGAGTATCATTTGAAGACCCTGATGACTAACCATGGATTTTAGTGTCAGCAATAACAATAAAGCATTTTGCAAATACTGGGTGTCGTTGTTTTTCTGGAGGTAGTGCTGGGAATGGCGACATTCCTAGCTTACCATATTCTAGGACCAGTACTAGCTACTTCACCTGAATGGTTAGACGTACCCCTCACAATATCCTTTACCAGGCCCCACTCCTCTTACTCCCATTTTACAGATGGGGAAGGTGAGCCTTGTTGGAAACAGGTAATCTCTCCAGTCCTGCAGCTCCTTGGTGGTGGAGGCAGGATTGGACCCTGGGAGTATGGCCTCAGGACCTCCCTCTCAGCTGTGGGCTCTGCTGCAGAGTAGACATGGCCCGGAAACAGAAGCACAGGTCAAGTGCGTCAGGGCACCAGATCCACTGTCATCCGGGTAGGCTCAGTCTCCTCCTTCATGAGACCCATCACGCTTCCCCATCTGTCAAATGAAGGGGATCAGGCACATTCAAGCATCAGGGGATGAATGAGTGAAGCAGTCCTTCACTTAGTCTCAGACGGTCCCCTAATTCGCTGCCCCCAGGTCTGACCCGTGAGTGCCTGTCACCCCACCTTGCATGCCCGTGGCTTGCTTTTCATGAGCCTGTGCCTAGGACTCTGACACCAGACCCTAGCCTCTGTGGCAGGTGTGTGCGCCTTAGAACTAAGGTCAGAACCCTGAGCTTTGACCATCCCCTGATGTATGAGCGCTTATTATGTGCCAGCCACACTTTGCATCTGTGATCTCTGATCCTTCGACAACCCTGCATGCCTATCCGAGTCCCCATCTCACAGAGGCCAGCCTGAGCGCATGCCCAGAGCCCTCCAGTGAGAGGCCCAGGCTCGGGGACCCAGATGGCTTGAGTATCAGCTGGCGGCAGGGCAGACGCTGCAGCCAGCACCAGGCAGCTTGTCCTCGTGTGTGCGCCTCAGGCTTGGGAAGCTAGGGAGGATGGGGCCTCTTCGTGGGGCCTGACCTATTCCTGGGTGCCTTTTCCTTTGGTAATACCTGGTCTTTTTTGGGCAAATATTTCTCTCAGCGTTTACTCAGCTGGTCCAAGGACAGGGGAGGCCCTGACTGTACCACATGTGTCAGGCCAAGGTCCAGTGCTGTCTAAAGTTCACTCAGCAAATAGTCACTAAATGCCCCCATGTGGGGGACCGGCCCGGGCTCGGGGCGGCTGATTTGGGGTGACCTGGAGGGAAACTCTGAGCTGGGAGTCAGCACCGCCCATGTAAGTCAATTGTCTCACCATCCTGGCACGGACAGATTGATAGAGCAACTCAGACAGAGAGAGAGAGGGTGAAGTTCTGAGAGAGATCTTTTTGCCAAAGAAGTGACCTGAAGTGCGCAGATAGGGCTTCACGGGCAGCAGATTTGGGTCCGGGGCTGGGCCATCTGGCCGGGGGAACAGCTGGAGTGGAGTGTGGCTGAGGAAGCTGCAGTGTGCACGAGAGATGGTGTCGGCTTCAGCTTGGACCAGCGCAGCCATGGGAAGGAGAGCAAGGAGGGAAGAGGGGGCGATGCTTGTGGTCCAGGGACAGGGACCCTGGACACTTCTCTCTCATCCTCATCTTCAGGGTGGTTTGGCCATCCTCACCACACCTAAGTCACTCCCTGGACCCCTTCTGGCCCCTCGCTCTTCCATCTGTGTCTGTAGATGCCTCCTCACTCAGCCCTTTAGTGGGTGTGCTCACACCCATCCACACCTGCTCCTCCATCAACCCCACCAGACCTGTCTTATGGTTGCCTGCATTATAGGTTTGGCTGTCCCCCTCTGGGGCCTTCCAGGCTGGCACTAGTGGTAAAGAACCCACCTGCCAATGCTGGAGATGTAAGAGACGCAGGTTCGACCCCTGGTTCGGGAAGATCCCCTGGAGGAGGGCATGGCAACCCACTCCAGTATTCTTGCGTGGAGAATCCCTTGGACAGAGGAGCCTTTCGGGCTACAGTCCACAGGATCGCAAAGAACCAGACACGACTGAAGCGACTAAGCATGCACACATGGTTGCCATAACAAAATCCCACAGACGGGGCAGCTTGACAACCGACATGTATTATCTTGCAGTCCTAGAGGCTGGAAGTCTGAGATCAGGTGTCTTCAGGGCTGTTTCTGTTTGAGGGCTCCCTTTCGTGTTTGCCGATGGCAGTCTTCTCTCTGTGTCCCGTGGGCTTCACTGAGCGCGTGTGTCTTAATCTTCTCCCCTCCCAATCTCCATCAGGCATATCGGAGGGTAGAAGTGCTATTCGCTCAGTTCTGTCTGACTCTTTGCAACCCCATGGTCTGTCCATGGGATTCTCCAGGCAAGAATATTGGAGTGGGTAGCCATTTCCTTCTCCAGAGGATCTTCCCAACCCAGGGACTGAACCCAGGTCTCCTGCACTGCAGGCATTTTCTTTACCATCTGAGCTACCAGGGAAGCCCATATTGGATGGGCACCCACCTTAATTTTAACTTAATCACTCTTTTGAAGATGCCGCCTTTGAATATAGTCACGTTCTGAGGTACTGGGGTTAGGGCTTCAGCACGTGAACTGGGAGGGGGACACAATCCAAGCCACAGCAGTCACCCATCTTTAGCTCCTTAGCCACTGTCACCAAATTCACCGCTCTTCTTAGGAACCCATGTTCACTCCCCTCTCTGACCAAATGCGCTCTGAGGCTCTTTGCCTGGTGGACCCACCCTAGTTTTAACTTAATCACCCTTTTAAAGATGCCACCTTCGAATATAATCATGTTCTGAGCTACTAGGGTTAGGACTTTAACATACAGATTTGGTGAGGACACAGCTCAAACCGTAGCAGCCAACTCATCTTTGAGTTCCTTGGAAGCTGTTGCCAGATTCACCGCTGTTCTTAGGAACCCATGTTTGTGTCCCTCTCTGACTGCATGCACCTTGAGGCTCTCCTCCTGTGGACTTCAGAGAGCAGAGGAATGGTTCAAGGGCCCAGGATTCCTTCCCCCACCATTCCCAGCAGAAACCCAGACCAGAAAGAATGACCCTGGTCCCCAGAGAAAGCACTTCACACCCCATGGAACAACCTTGGCTAGCCCACACTTGTTTATTTAACTCTGTCATCTGAAAGCTGCTGTTCAAGGGGTTCCTACAGGGAATCAGGCAGGGAGCTAGGATAAAGATATAATGGTGAGCCTAGCAAATGCAGGCTTAGGCAATAACCAGGCACACACACAAATACGCAGAATTACAAACTGTCATGAGGATCATCCTTTTGTCCCCAGATGTTTATTAATTATCCCTTGGAACTCCTCCAGGTGCTGGAGATAAATGAAAAAATCAACAAAGGGTCTCTGCTCTGGGCAAGCTACATTCTAGCACAGAAAGACAATAACAACAGAAAAGAGAGAATGATATCAAAAAGTAAAATAGGTCACATTGTCAGTTGATGACAAAGTGCTATGACGTGTGAGTTTGACACTCAGAGTATAGGAAGTACAGAATACAG